TGCTCTCCTACGCACAGCAGCTCGTAGATACATGTATAATACTGTGACAAATTTCATGCGCACCGCAAGCGTGCATGTATACTTGCAACAATTTTATTCACAAAATATCTTGTATCAAGTAAGGTTTAGTTCATTCAGGGCTGTCTCCGTATCTCACCAACTTATCCAGCTGTGAATAGTCGCCACGGAGTACTGAATCTCGTTCGTCACTCTCAGCGCTGCTGTCCGCGTCGCCACTTCGTGTCACGGAGCTCTCAAACTCGTCGTCTGCGCTGCCTCCGCTGATGGCTTGTCATCTGAGCGAAACCTCTTCACTTTCACCTGATTTTTCTTGCGGGGGACTATCACAGGCAGCGGAGTATCTCTGGAGATCCAGCTGCCAAATATTCTAGTCGCTCGTGCTCCATCAAGAATTCGTGACGGGATCGTTCCGCCAAGAAATTATTTGTTCCGCTCTCTTTTCAGCGCATGATTTGCAGACGCTACCCAGAGCGCAAACGCCTCCATGGTGGCTGAAAGCGCCTACCTTGACGTCCCAAGTGCTTGGCGGATAAACTACAACTGCAATGACAACAAATTATAGCGAAGCCACCAAGAGGAAAGCACTTTCAAAGCGATATCGCAAGAAGTCTTTCCGCTTTGATCGCAGTGACTAAAAAACGACATAGGTTCGGTTTTTCGCAAATATTGGCATTTTGAAAAATCGCCAGGACCCCGGTTCTTGCTGCCGATGCCTCATATATATATATTAGGTTTTGGAATTGGTTTGCTCCCACACTGGATGGAAGTCGTGAGTCAGTCAAGTGTCAAGTCAAGTCAGCGGAATAGCGCGAGCGCCAGTGTGGGAGCAAACCCATTCCTAAAAAATTCATTGCTGAAGTCGCAACCACTATATTTTTGTTATTAGGTTTACAAAAGTACAGAAAAGAAAAAGAAAAGAAGGATATGGTATTGAGTTCCTTGGATAGCATATCTGTACTTACAGTTTCTCAACCGCTGGATCAATATTGTCCGGGAGCAACCTTAGTCTGACACCGCTGCAGGTATATACCTTATTGGAGTATGCATTGGAGCATTTCATTTCTTTGCAACAAAATCAGCAAAAAAGAGCCATCATCGAATACTTCATGAACTTGTGCAACCAATCTAGCTCACACTGAACCCTGTGACTGGAGAAAATGCTCAGTTGCATTCCCATTCTTTTCATTGAGAAATAGTATGTATGCAATGTTGGTGGGGAAGGTCGTGCTATTAAGGTGTATTCTGCACACAAGGAAGCTTTTAAAAGGTGGCTCATACCCAAATCGGAAAATAAAACGGCCTGATTGATTTTGTTCAAAATTGCGCAGCTCTTTAACACTACCAGAATATCGTCAGTCCCGAAAAATGGAAAGGATTGAAACATTTGAAACTCGGATGTTGAGCCATAAATAAATGTGGAAGAGAAAAGGACATATGGATACGAGTTAAGAGTAACTCTCCATCACTGTAACATGATACTATATACAGTCAGAAAGTGCAATAACTAGGCACAAAACTGCGGAGATGTGTTGAAGCTAGGTGTCAGGACGTCGAATGTTTCAGTACTCTGTCAGTTTTGTGCCTAGTTATTGCACTTTCTGACTGTATATAGTATCATGTTACAGTGATGGAGAGTTACTCTTAACTCGTATCCATATGTCCTTTTCTCTTCCACATTGAAACATTTCTTCATAGTTAAAACCTGATTTAAATTTTCTGGTGTTTTGGAGTATTTTGCACAAAAACACATCCCAGCATTTTGCCTCTCCTGCTGTATTGCTCAGACTAAATGTTGTAGTTTTCTTTTCAGGTATCTGAGTGGTGATTTCTGCAGTCAAGCCAAGCCAAATAGGGTGGCTGGGCTTTCTTTTCAGGGTTCTTGGCTGCCCACACTAACAATCTCATTCGGTTCGGAACGCTAATATCAGTACTCCGCGGGGTGTTTCCCGAAATTGGCCCGATAGATTTTCTTCATTTCTTCAAGAAGTACCGCCAGCTATGTGGTTCATAAACTAAACATTAGATATTCGATATTGAATCAATGTGAAGGACCTAGGAGCACGGTTTACTGAATCCAATATTGGCTGACGTGTGCGGTGGACAAAAACATCATTGTCAAACATAATGGCCACATAGATTTCATTCCAATTTTTCAGAGGTATACTTAGATAGTAATGGGAAGAGTCTGCAAAATTATAACCCCCTGCAGCTACCAGAAGCATACTTTGTCAAGTACTATCAATTTGTTGAATTGGGGGTAAATTTACATATCACTGCCATCAAGTAATTCGAAACTGCTTTATGGATTTCCTTTAAATTTGGTAAAGATGTTCCTTTGATTGATGAAAAAGTGCCTGTCACAGTGTCAAGTTCCATGTTTCTGTTGCCGCAAGAACATACCTTTTGAGTCAATTATAGAAGCTAGTCTTGTCAAAAACCATTACCGGAAAAGAAGAAGAAAAAGTTTTTACCGGGGAGGTTCGAACCCGCGAGGGGCAAAAGCAACAATATTTCATAATATTTCTACTCCAAACCTGCACAGAAGGATGCTCGAAGAACTAGTTTTCGATTCAGGTAAGAGCCACCTTAAATGAATGGCGAGTGAATGCTCGAAGACTTCTCAGCGTATCATCACGTACCAGCATGCAGTAAAACGCGTTAATATGCTCACCTACACAAATGACAGCATGACTCAAGCCAGACGAGTGATCAAGGCGAGATGTCAAGCCATTGCTGGTACTAAAGTATCTTTGTTTAGAACCATACTTTTTTGCCCAGACGGTGAGATGGGGCAGGCCAACAAACTTTGCCAGGCGTTGGAAATATGTGAGGTAACAGCCGGGTAGCGAATTGCCCCGTGGGAATGTCCCAGTGCATTGCTTGGATGCCCACTGATAGGAGGTGATGGACATAACCTTTCCAAACTTAAAAGCAGGTTTGAGTATGATACCCGGACAATCTCCTTGAAAGTCGCCTACAGAAAGATGTAGAAGGAAGCAGGACACATGCATCATGTGGGAATGAATGTGTGATTAGATTCTTAGTTGGAGGAAAGCAAATCAGCACACGAAGCACAGAAGCGCCCTCTCCAACTTGTACCGCCTGCCAGGGCGAACAGCTACTCGCGTGCCACCTTCCTCTTTGTTACCGCTGCCACCTGGAATTCTATCCCCACTGACATTAGAACCACCCAAAATAGTCATTGCTTTGTGTCTCGTGTCCGTACCATCTTTGCCAACACCCGCTTCGAACCCGCTGGTTTCATTCCTTCCAGAGTTTCTATAACATAGTAAAGAATGTTACGGCTGATTTCTACAGTACGCATTTGTTATAACCCTTCCTCTTCTCAATCTATATGTTATAATTTCGCAGATATATTCCCAGTAAGCCTTGAACGGAGACCCCCTCGACTTAGGCCTCGGCCTTTGGGGAATCGATAAATAAAATTTTAAAAAAAAGCCATAATAGTTTCGACTAGGCCTTTCATACCATTACTTTTCAAGTCGAATACAATGATGATTAACAAGGTAGCAAGCAAGTCCTTAGTCTTCTTTTTTGATAGAGTAAAATCCTCCGTGTTACTGTGTAGTTGGCGCCATTAGAGCCATCTTTTAAAGTGCTATTTTGGTCAATGCTCTGACCGTCAAAGTGACCGTTGTAAGAACTTGCTTGCTACCTTGTTAACCCTTTACCGACGGCACATACTTTTATCGATCACCGGTGATCGATAAAAGTATATTTTCAATTTTTTTTTAACTATCATTATTTTGTTTGGAGAGAACGGATATGTAGGAAAAAGACAAAACAAACGCTCAGCTGTCGTCTCGAATCGCAGCTCGTGTTACCATTTCTGTTGAGTCGTGATGGTTTACAGCATATTCAGTGTCGTTGAGTTGTAGTAAGACCGGTATGTCCACTAGCCTTACAAGTTTCATCATCATCCAGTAACTTTCAGCATTCCCTGTGGCTGTGGGACGTAGCTCGTGCTCCATAGATACGCCTTCTTTGTTTTTATGTAAAGAGAAAGGACCTATAAAGACCTATAAGTAAGTTTTTTGATGGATGAAGAAAGTGTACGTACAGTTATAGAATAGTGCCCTCTCTTGAATAGTGCCCTCTCTTGCATAGTGCCCTCTCTTGCATAGTGCACCTCATGAGCAGTGCCTTATCCGTTACAGGCAGGGTACTAATCGCACAAGTTCGGTATTTTATGTTCCAAACCGAACAAAATGGCTAATACAGTATTTTCCCCAACAAGAGAGCTTGGAAGCTCAGGGCCCTACGCTATGCTTTTTTACCTTGATGACCTAGACAAAAAAAAGCATAGGGATGTTATAAATTTTCTAATAAGTAAGGCCACACTGAAGAAGGTGTGTGGTTCGACTAACATGGACATTTTTTTACGGGCGGGCGGATTTTTTTTTTTAATATATTTTTTAGTACATGTAAATACACTGTACTGCCTTTAGACACCCAGTACATCGGCATTATTACCCAGTGTTATGCCATACAATGTCATGTTGTATAAAGGGATCACTGGCTAATACTTTGAAACATTGTGTAGCTCTGGAACGAGAAGAGAATAACTTCAAGCGGTGACTCTGACTGTCCAAATCATCAAGCAAATGAAGAACGATGCGAGTTGAAAGTAAGTTTGAGAACTACTTCGAAGTACAAATTGTACAATGTACCGGTACATGTATTGCTAGTTTGGTGTCGGCGTGCACGAATACATGGGCTTTTTCCATCGACGCTTCCTGTGCTTGACCACATGGAGCAGCAACTTACCGGTACAGGTGAAATATCGTTCCCAATACACGAGGAAAGTGCAATCTCGTCTGTCCTTCATCCCAAAATAGAAGGCCGTCCTTAATCTGGAACGAGGCAATCACTCTCAACCGGACGGTCACTTCAAAATAAGTCTCGCCAGTCTGCCGGTGGTCGTATCGAGAAGACTCTACTACCAGCACAAGGCAGCAGTCGTACCACTCACTGCACTGCAGTACAACTACAAGTCAAGTCCAAAAGGAGCCGCCTGCGTCCGCAGACTCACGCTGCACAGCACGTAGACGTGGACGTGTTCAGTCCACGTACGTCAGTCACACGACAGCCCGCCGAAAAAAAGTTACGGTCGGGCTGAAAAATGTACGGTCGGTCGGGTGAGTCGAACCACAGACCTTCTTCAGTGTGGCCTAACTCCTTTTTTTTTTAAGACATAACCTGGGATTCTAGCCGCACTATCGCCCTGCATGCATCCCCCGATACACTTCGCATACATATTAATTCTTCCAAGTTGCTTCACGTTATGATCTTGCATTTCAAAGCCCTCTTTGAATATTGTGGCAAGCCGTCTTTGATGGTACGGTACGGTACAGGACAGGTACGGTCGAGGGTAATACGGCACTGTCTACCACCTTGATTACCTAGGCAAAAAAGCATGAGGATGTTATAAATTTTTCAATTCTTCTATTTTTTTAAGGCATAACCTGGGATTCGAACCCGGACTATCGCCCTACATGCATTCCCCGATACACTTCGCATTCATACTCATTCTTCCAAGTTCCTTCACGTTAAGATCTTGCATTTGAAAGCCCTATTTGAATATTGTGGCCAGCTGTTTGTGGCCAGCTGTCTTTGATGGTACGGTACGGGGCAGATACGGGATAGCGCCAGGCGTGACACAAACAAACAAGCACCAAATTAAAGCTGTGTGGACCCTGGCTAGCGCCAGACATTACTGAAGTAACGTCTTCTGCATAGCTACGGGAATAAATGTACAGTACTTTTATTTTTTCAAAGGTGGTCAGACCTGTACCGTAAAGCGTCAGGCGAAATAGCACGTCATAGTACATTTGAGATCAGCGGGAAGAAGATGACGACGTCCACTAATTTAGTATCTGTGCACACGAATCTGCTGTGTGTGTGACTCTGTATGTCAGCTATGATATCATCTTCTGTGGTTCCATGCCTAGCATGTACGTCTGAACCATCCTGCAAAGTTTGAATGACGTAGGTTGAGCGATCGCTCCGCGAAACATACTTTTTGAAATTCTCTTCATAGTATATCTTCCACCATTGAAATTTCGAATTTCTTCAAAAAAAAGTGCTGAGAGGGGTGGCTTGCAACCTCGATATGGCTTGTTCCAGGCATGCTTTGGAGCCATCTTCTGTTGAAGTAGTGGCGGGGATCTGCCCTGCAATTGCTACAACAAAAAATGATTCGATCTGAGAAAGGGTGAGACCGCGAATCTCGGTTGAATATTGAGTATTTCAAGCCTTTTCACGACGAAGATGGAGTTCTTTTTGGAGATGGACGTCGCGGCAAAGGACATGGTGTCTGGTGAAGCCAGGGATCATTTGTCCAGTCAGGTCGGCAGCCTAACTGTCGGTAAGCTTGTGTTTGGATCCCGTTCTGCTCGATGTGGTAGATCACAAACAATTTGATATCGCACAAATTGATCTCAGCATCGTGCGTACGGTATTTTATATTCAGAAAATCCCAAAGGGTCTGTGTGTGGCCGTTCTATGCCACGAGAAACTCCAATCAGGCTCCTATGTCCTCTGCCTTCATGATTGAATGTCCACTTCGTTTGAACAACGAACACAACAATCGAGGACGGCTTTGCAATGAAAAATACAGCTATACTGGAGCTGAAAAAAAGAAGAAAAAAACGTGCTCAGGATGAGACTCGAGTACACGCATACTCTCTCACCAGGTGAAACGCAATTTTTTGTGAAAAATGCGTGTCGCCGACTGACCAGTAATTTCGCCTGACGGTACCGCCAGAGCGCCCCACCATCTCATCCTTTCGTGGTCGTATTGTGGGGGTGGTCTGCTGTCTGTAGGTCATACAACATGAACCTTGTACACATATTGCACGTTTTGCAGTCAATCCGTACCTTCGAGCGGACACGAGCTCCACACAAAAACCTGCTAAGTGTGACCTTAGTACACTAAGATTCTCACATCGTACAAACTTCGTTGCACTCTGCCATACGATTTTCCTTTCTCTGGCTGTAAAATCAAGGTGGGGCGCTCTCGCGAGACGGGGCGCTCTGGCGGTACTTTACGGTACTAGTATAGGAGACTGTACTAGTATTGGAGACGTGTACTTTTGTTTCGGGAAAGATTGATTGCCTGGGTTGGGTGACAAACAACTCGTGATAATGATGCTGTAAGGCTGTAAATACATCCAACCATGGTAAGAATAAGAAAGATGATGAATGGTATGAAAAAACGAAAAAAGGTGGACCCTGGTACTTGTGCCCAGTAATGCCCATCACATCATTCCGGCATGTACTATTATTAGGGACGTGTCCATTTATATTTTTGATCCACACTCAACATGTACCGTAAAGTGTGCTGCAAACGCCCACTTCGCTGCAAACGCCCACTTCGCAGCAAATTCCCACCCCAGCAGGTCCATACTAGTTTCGTGTTTTTCAGGTCAATATAGTTGTAGAAAACTTGCATGAAGGTCGAATGCGTACGAAAACGGCTGTAATGCCTACACACTGCCTATGTCTTACCAGGAGGCTCTGCAAAGCGATTGTCATTATCTTCCTACAAAGAAAAACTTCTGTCGAGATTTCCTTTCATTCGATAAATGAGCCGTCTTTGTGGTAGTTCGCTCTCCATGTGGTAATGCCATAGAATCCATCTGGTTTTCATGCAATTTCTGCAGTGCCACGATGTCACGCTTTTAGAACGGAACAGTGATTGTTCTGATGAAGCGTAATTCAACAACTTCACTGGTCGCAGTATTGCAGTTGCAAGTCGAACAGGGTATGTCACAGAAGCTACACCTACAAAGTCGCTGCTAACTCTGAAGTGCTCGAGAAAAACACTTGCCTTTGAGCGTTGTGTGATTTGGAAATGATGGCTTGAAACACCGTCAGAAGTGTATTTGGTTCCTGCAATACTCTGTTCTTCGCTACCTTGTTACTCGGAAGAAACTTCCGTTCGGATTTGCGAAATAAAACAACCATCATCATAAAATCACTACGAGCTAGCTTGTGGCTAGAGCCCAAAGAGATTTTGAAACCAGGAAAGTGGACATAGTTTACCGTAGCAAAGCGCTCTTTGTTCTACGGTGTGAGATGCACTTTCATACAGTAGGGGTGACAGTGCATGAGGTCAGTGTGTACAGGCCAGCAGATCTTGCAAAAACGGGGTGGTCGTTTGCAGCCGACTTTACGGTACTACAATTGAAGACGTACTAGTATTGGAGACGTGTATATTTAATGGGGAAAATAGGGTATTGGAATCCCACAGCTGCTACACTGGCTGATACTTTGCATTAGGTAGTGAGTCGATTCCAGTAGCTTGTATTCATATTACGAAGTGCAAAAGCTTGGAACTGACAGCACAGGGTGAATCAGCACTGCTTGTTTTAATATTTGCGAAGGGAATGGTACAAGGGCCTCAGACGTCTTTAAAAAAAGTATGAATGAGAGAATAAACACATTGTGATTTTGGAAACAATTAAACGGTGGCTATTTGGGACGAAATATCAACTTGCTTCCCATCGGACGGTGTAGTAGACGGACTTTCTCCTACACGAACCTTATGTCACAGTGGCCAGTGATGCGTAACTGCCTTGCTTACATTTAGAGATCGCTAGCTAGCGCTGGCAGTTGTAACCAGACTTACCGTACTGTATATCGATGTAATTATACTTACCAGCACACGAAGCAGAGAAGCCATACAATTTTTTCGACTAGGCCTTTCATTCCATTACTCTTCAGGTCGAACACAATGGTGATTAACAAGGTAGTAAGCGAGTCCTTATAACCGGCACTTTTGGCGGTTAGAGCATTGACAAAAATGGCACTTGAAAAATAGCGCTAGTGGCGCCAACAGCATATTTGGCGGTCAGAGCATAGACCAAATAGCACTGTAAAAGTTGGCGCTAGTGGCGACAAGTTCAAAGTGAGACAATGAATATTACCAGTATCAGAAAACAGTGGGGGCCACGGTACTACAATGTCAAAACAGTGACAACTTTCACACATACTTCTTTTGCACGCCCAGACGACACACCGATTGGGCGATCGCATAGAGCAGCACATCCCCAACAAACTCGTACGGACAGTTACAGGAACAACAACACCGGTCAGGACAGGGAGAAGCCAAGCAGTCAAGGACATCACCGTCTCCGTCAACAAAGGTAGAAGAAAATCAACACCGATCAAACCACAAGCAACTGTCACAAGACGAAGTGAACGGCTGCGTCTCCGCAACAACGCTCTGCAACAAGCGGCTGATACAGGATCGGCATATGGAACAGTGTGTGACTCCTCGCCCGGCAGAGAAGTCACCAGCGGCACAGCTGCGATGCACAATAGCTACCACAGGAATGGACCACTGGACAATGACGATAATGAGAAGGACTCAGCGAAACTCCGTCACCTGACATCGTCACCAGCCTGCCTATGTGCAGTCTGCAAACATGGCACCCACTCTCACTTCACCATTCAAGCGCATGCACGCAACACATCTCACCTTGCTGTGCTGGAGGCAGTGTACATTGCCAAGCTGAATCCTGAACTGTGTGTGCAAAAGAAGTATGTGCGAAAGTTGCCACTGTTTTGACATTGTAGTACAGGTGAAATCCTGATAATTCGAACCTCAAAATGCCAGGAAAAAACTTCTAATTATCCGGACATTCTAACTATCCAAACATGAACGCACAACACAATATGTATGTCAAAATGCTCCCCTGGTCACGCAGAGTTGCGCTATGGACCTTAGACACAGATTTCACGGATACTGAACTGACCGGCACAGCCTGCTCATGCAAACTGAACTGACCAGTACAGTGTACAGTGAACTTCGAATTATACTTTGCTAACTTTGAATTATCAGCACAAATCCCACACATTTTCTATGTAAGTGGAATCTGTGGGACTTCTAATTAACCGAACGTGTCCAGTTCGAGGTTCGAATTATCCGAAAATTTTATGTGGGAATCGTATTGATAGAAATCGGTCCTGGAAAAACTTCTAATTAAGTGGTATGTTCGAATTACGCCATATTCGAATTATCAGGATTCCACCTGTACCGTGGTTCCCGCTGTTTTCTGATATTGGTAAGATTCATTGTCTCACTGTGAAGTCGCCACTAGCGCTAACTTTTAAAGTGCTATTTGGTCTATGCTCTGACCGCCAAATATGCTGTTGGTGCCACTAGCGCTATTTTTCAAGTGCCACTTTTGTCAATGCTCTAACCGCCAAAAGTGCCGGTTATAGGGACTCGCTTGCTACCTTGTTCATCACCATTGTATTCGACCTGAAGAGTAATGGAATGAAAGGCCGAGTCGAAAAAATTATATTATGGCTTCTGTGCTTCGTATGCTGATTTGCTTTTCTCCAACCAAAAATCTATTCAATTATAATTACCATACTGTATATAGATATAGAGTCCCACCTCTTCAGGGTCGCACCAATGCAGAATGCCTTTTTGACGACCTGTGCTGTAACAATAATTTCTACAAAGGCACCCTGTTTTTGTGCTTTATCACTTGGTCCCGCTCATTGTCAGCTTCGTATACCGCTTTGTTTTTTTCCATGGCCACTGCATTCCGACGATAGTTACACAGACTGAAATGTTGACAAAACCGCTGGATTGTGTGTGAAGAACTGAAAATGCAGTTCTTGCTTGAATAAACGCAAGTTGCCTGCAAAACTGTTTATGAGAGCCAGCATTGTTTTGAAAAAAATTAATTATACAATTGCACCATGACATAGAATGACAGCAAAAGCAGTCGTGACAAACGTCTAGAACATACTTGTAACTCACCTATACATATTGGCAAAGCCTTGTCAGCTGCCGAGTAACTTAGTTTGTGCCACATTCCCTGCCTGTCTACCATAGCGGGAGCGCCTTTGCTGTCCAGAATCCACAGCATGGACGCACCAGTCGGACTGAATGCACTGCCGGGGATGCTGGCAAGGACACAGGCTTTGTCTTCTAGCTGCGGCAGAGCTAGACCAAGCTCACTGCACGTGTCAAAGGCCTTGGTTGGCCATACACCCATTGCGTGGGCTGGCAGCATGGCATACTTTGTCGAATGACATGAAGGCACACTCTGAAACAGCCCTGTAAATCATGGATAAAAAGACAAAATGTTACGAGTTATTATTTTATGACTAACCCTCAACATCTGAGTTCAGCAAAAGGGAAACACTAACATTCACAGGTTTGAGGGAAAGATGCAAACTGGAAAAGTCTGAAGAAAATATGGTCACCACCCAGACTCAAACCAAGCACCTTTGCCAATGCTGCTCTAACCACTGAGCTATGAAAAGAGAAACCTTCCTCGCTGGAAATGTTCCCCGATTACTCACCCCATGCCCAAACTACGCAACAGAGAACCCAGTAAACTCGAGAACAACCAGCACAAGAAACAGAACCTTACTGGCGGGGGTGGGGCGGGGCAGGTCGTTGCAATACAGGAGCGGTGGAAGCGGACTGACTTTTGCGACCGCAACAATTGGTTTCTTTTTGTGCATACCCCATTGGCTTGTTCCATATGCGGGTCCTTCTTCCCAGGTGCAAGGGGAGTTTTGAGTACGTAAGATCGCGTGTACTGCCTGAATTAGCCTGTCGGAAAGCTGACAATGGATAGTGTTTGTTGGAAAACCTGTTTAATAAAGTAATCCAATTGTCACTTCAGCTCATCCTACTTATTGCCATAATATAATGTGGTACAAACTTTAGTTATTTCGTACCGCCTAACAAATATAGAGAAAGTTCATACTTATACAGTAACACAGTACACTGTGTTGCAAGCCTCACGCGTATAGCTGCTGAGCAAGTGACGAGTTATGTGGAGGTGGCTACGTTGGAGTCGGAGTTTAGGGACACCTGATGCGCTGTCAGTAGAGAGGTTCCGCAGTACGATTTTCGTGCCAAAATCCGTAGAGGCGCAACGGATTTCTTCTACATCGTTTTCGAGCAATGAAATGTTTGCCATCATTGCCTTGGTTACGATCGCAAACATGTCATATTCCCGAGCTATGCCTAAATAAAAACTTCCCGCGGGACCGTTATGTTCCAAATTTGTACGCGAGAAATCTTTCACTCGATAACGCAAAAACTCTACACACTTCACATGGTTCGTATGAAAGCCAATCCACACGGATTCTCTGTGCCAAAAAATGGTATGAAGCACACCTCAAAAAATCCGTAGACCACATATGGATTTAGGCACGGGAAGTTGTACCCCGAAACCTTTCTATTACCTATATCGTGAACAGTACGAAAAAGGTACATGCTAACGTTTCACCCCGGTACATGCTAAGTAAGTTGCACTGTACTTTCATCATCTAGCAACCTTGGGCGAGCTTTGTTGCCAGCTTTGTGCCTTGTTGTTGCATTTTTAATACCGGTGTAGAGAGAAAGAGAGAAAGAGAGAGAGAGAAACAGAGAGAGAGAGAGAGAGAGAGAGAGAGAGAGAGAGAGAGAGAGAGAGAGA